GGAATACAAGTCAGCGATCAAGCGATGGAAATACTCCACATGTGGGCTGGAGACGCCATAGAGGTAGTCAGCCTACAAGGAGCAAGGGGATAACACTCGTCCACATCAACGTTAATCCCAAACTTTGTTGTACAAGAGACCAGATTAGTAATCACATTTCCTATTAGTATTTTGTGGTAAATCGTACTTCCTGTTAGTTACTTTTGCCCCACTGACTGATATATATGTCTTACTGCAGTATTGTAAGGTATCACTGCACTCCCGTTTACGCTTGGTGTTTTTAAGCAGGATGCAATTGCAATGACAATGTTCGTTGCAATTCAGTTTCAGATAGCTTTATGTCACAAAGTAATGCCAGAGTCAAACATCCCCAAGTCATTAAAAAATCTAAGATTCTAATGATGCTGGATTGACAGGAACTCTAAATTAAGTGAATATATTTAATACATTTATCATCAATGGGAAATAATCAATTGCAAGAAATATACCTCCCTAAAGATTTCCTTCAACTAGTAAGTCTAAAAATGAGATTAAAAGGTATTTTGATAGAATGCTTCTACTGCCAGCAAATGCTCTGACATCACACTTGAAATTTAGTGACTCCATCCCCATTAGTTATTTATTAGGCATTTCTTCTAGAGGGCATGATAGTGTTTAACTCTTAAAACTGTTTGTTAAATATCTGCCGGTTCTGCATTTACTTTCAAAAGTGAACTTTTAGATTTCTGTGATGAGGCAAAGAATAAACATTTGCTTTCTTGTCATAACCATGACATTGCATGCTCAATGTGTCATGCCTTATGAAGTTATTCTTGTCAATAGTATAGTATATTTCAATTGTTTCTCTCATTCTCTCACCATACATGCACATAAACACGTGCACACATGCACATATGCACACACACACACACACACACACACATACGTATGCACACACATATGCACACACACACACACACACACACACACACACACACACACACACACACACACACACACACACACACACACACACACACACACGCGCGCGCGCGCACACATGCACGCACACACGCGCACACATGCACATGTACACTCATATACATATACACACACACACGCATGCACGCACGCACGCATGCACACACTTGTGTGTTTGGTGGACAATATATAAAATGCTGGATTTTTGTCTTAGTATAAATATTAGTTATAACCCCAAGTCCTTTCCTTGCAGAAATACAGATGCACATATAGAGTATATACAGAACAGATTAGAGTAAAACAACAATAAAAAAAAAACATGCATTTGAGTTATTTTTTTTTCAACAGTATTTTGATCAACTACTTGCTAAAAATATGTACATAAATCCAGCAACCATGCACCAGCATAAACATGCAATCAAGCAGATAACACAAACATTCCTTTTCTCTCTTGCACAATCTGCAGAGAAATGATGCAGCATGCATTGTGCATTCATGAAGCACATTTAGATATCTAGTGACATTGTTATTTTGTAAGGACAAAAACTACAGAAGTCGCTCTGCTCAGCTATAATCAGACATAAAGAATGCGAGATTTTAGGGACAACTTTGTAAAGTACAAGGAAAAATGTAAAATTAACGATTAATTAGATATATACAGTATACTGAATGACACTTATCATTTAATTAAAGAATTAGCTGTAAACTACAGACAAGTTTTCAATTGTTTCTGAACATAAACAATTTTTTTTTTTTTTTTTTCCCCAGAATAACCCCCAAATGTTTGCATGCCAGTGATTTGCAGTGTCACATGTTTGCAGCTAATGGCATGTGCATATATGCAATTTGATTGTGCAATTTATAGATTCTTGCAGCTTGCACACCCCATGAGTTTCTTCTATCAAATGCTATTAGATACTAAGTGCAGCTTGATTCACCTCATTAAGTTGCCTGCTAGTCCCTAACAATTTTGTGCTTGCCTCATCACATGTCACATTACATAGTTATGTAGTATTTCAAGACATGCAAGGAAAGGTTCAAAACTGACGCTTTATAAATTAATATTAACAAAATGAATATAGTAATATATAAGAAATATATATCCCAAAAGTAACTAACATCAAAATCAAATATCGTAAGGTAGAAACATTTACAAACACGTACTGGGAGGCAGATTCTTTCTATTCCTTGTTTACCCGAGGCCCCTTGCATATTGAGGACGGTAAAAGTTAATCCTTGATTGGTCTGAATATTTGACTATAGCTGAAACTACTTCAAATGTACTTGGGTAAAATCAATTGAATGAGATAATCTGTCATAAAAGATTAATAAATAAAAAAGCAGAGGCAGACACATGGTTTGATATTTAGGAGGGACAACACCCATAAAATATTTTAGTGATCATTCTTTTCAAACTCCTGAAAATGTGGGCAATTTCCCTAGTAAGTATATTTTTATAGTTTTGTTTTAAGCAACCTTTTTTCTAGATCTATTTCAAGCCTTCACTTCAAATTATATGGCCCCCAGATCCTCCCAAGTGTCCACCACTGAAATAAAAGCACAAAATGAAGTAGTGACAGTCAGAAGAGCTATCAAATGAAGTAGGTACTGTATCTTATGAAATTAAATTGTAAATGGTATCAGGGTTAGACTACAACACACTAAGTGATATCTAATCAATACATTAGTAAATAAAGGAAATATACATTAAATCAAGCACCAAAACTACAAAGCAATGAATCTGCCAAATCATCAAACATGTTTCACATGATAAACTGCATCAAGTGTTATACAGGACTAGACCAAATAACACAACTGATAACTCAAGCTATCTATCTGAATAACATAAGCCCTACCAAGGTGTTACAGCACCTGCTCTGGCCTCACCTGGGGAAAGGTGGTCGGGGTGACGGGGGTAGTTGACATTCTTCCCCTTGAGACTTCAGGAGGGTAAGGAAGGTGCGAATGAACTCCTGTGCCTGGCGAGTGAATCATAATAAACATGTTCCCTGTCACATGTACATACTGGTTTTGCTCTGAGCTATGAGCTTCCGTTATATAGGGAACAAATCCAAACCTCTCCAGTATTGCCTCCTGTAATGAGAGTGAAAGGTATGCTTTGCTAATATATAATATATTACTCAATATATGTATGTATATGTAAATGTAAATGCATATATATATATATATATATATATATATATATATATATATATATATATATATATATATATATATATATATATATATATATATATATATATATCTGTATGTGTGTGTGTGTATGTGTGTGTATGTTTATGTGTCCCTCACTTCCTTCTTGCTAATCCACTGAGCTTCCTTATTCAACTTTCTCCATTTACATATCTTATCAATCTAACCTCTTGGATATCCTCCCTTGCCTACCTTATCATACAGCTCTCTCTCTTCCCTTTGCACTGTGCCCCCTTGACTATTTTCTTCATCCTTCTTATTATCTCATTTCTAATTGACCCTCAGTACTTGCCTTGAAACTAAGATGCCTCACCTGAAACAAATGCATTCGTCTTCCCCAAGTACTGGAGGTAAACTGTGCAAATGGTTCTCCTGTACTACTAAGACATGCCACATTCAGTGGTATCAGTATAGGGCCACGTAGAGGATCAGATATGTAGGAATATGGCAAGGCAAACGGATCACTTGGCACAGGAAAGAGGTGAAGGCCACATGGCAGGGCCTTACGTTGCCAACTCATCATCTGTGGAATAAATATTTCTATTAATAATAAAGTACACATATTAATCTGCCAGATAAATCATCTTAGTTCTGGCAAGCAATCAAGACCATACAAGACCAACTGAAAAATTGTAATAAAATACCAAGTCTGCAACTACAGATCCCGTTGCACACAGCCACTGGGTAATGAGCTCAAAGGCCTGAAGTGGCGAGAAGAGTGAATGGTGTTTGAGGTGACCCCACTCAATTCTGTCACTGCGGTTGTTGATATCTATGTCCAACAGCCCAATCCTGTACAAACCTGAAAGTAGGCACTTCATCATCACTCTGCATCAAAAGTATGTAACACTTTTCCAATATATCAAATCTGAGAGCGATTTGTAAATTCTTGTTTACGGCACAAATACCAAGAAAGGAGAATATTAGCCAACTACACTTACTATATCTTCCCTTCCATGGGATGTAAGTAGGGAGCTCAGGCTGCAAAAAAGTAGGGCAGGGCGAGCTTGATCTTGGGCCTGGTTGAGCTGCACCAGGTTTTGTGCTCAGGGGCTCCACTTCAACCTCATGCCATTCAGTAGAGTATGTAGATGTGTCACATAATACTTGGTCTTGTTCTATGAGAAAAAAAAAAAATAATAATAATAATATTAATACACAAAAATCTACTTTCATATAAATGCATGCACACAGCAATAAAAAACAACAGCTAAACAAACGTGTGTGTGTGTGTGTGTGTGTGTGTGTGTGTGTGTGTGTGTGTGTGTGTGTGTGTGTGTGTGTGTGTGTGTGTGTGTGTGTGTGTGTGTGTGTGTGTGTGTGAGAGAGAGTGAGAGTGAGAGTGAGAGTGAGAGAGAGAGTGAGAGCGAGAGTGTGTGTGTAAACAAGAATAGAAATCTCAGACCTAAAGTGTTTTAATAAGGCACAATCTTATTAATTTTGGACATTCAAATGAATGCTAGTTTACTTTACGTCATCAACTATTTGCATATTGTAAAGCAGTTAAAAATTTATATGATATAATCCTAAATATAAACAAGACATTATAGTTACCTCATCTTCCACTAATATTTTTCTTTCTTCATGATTACCATTTTTTTTTCAACACAAAACTTGTTTAATGCTAATTTAGAACTTCCTGTTTGTATGCATTACACTGTAACATCTAGCCTAAAAATGGCCAACCTGTGACCCACAAGCCAAGCTTAGCACTCTGGGTCATTACAAGTGGCACAAGTATGGCAGTAAGTCTACTAAATGTTTTTAGTGATTCTATTATTCAGTTCCTTTTCAGCAAATGTTATCTGCTTTATCAAATAATCCTTATACCCAATAACCTTATGTAAGAATGTTAATTATGTTTATAAATATATTGCTACAAGATGTATGCTGCAGAGAAGGGGATGACAAGAGCATTTGAACTCATGTGTAAAAGGTTGGCAAATCTACTCTGTCTGGCAGAGGTCAAGGAGACATCTGCCATCCCTGAGGGAGCCATGGGGTCTGTAAGCAACTGAATAATACTGGTAAACTTAATTCAAAAACAGTCACAAGCATTTAGATTTTCCCTTGAACAATAAGTTTCTTATTTACTTAGGTACTAAAACTAAACCACTAATTCTTAAAACAAGATTTTCAAGAAACAACAGGTGGTTCCTATCATGTTATGGTGAAAAATCCCAGTGCTGGGGGACAACTAATTGTATCATGAGGCTCTTTCCCATGAAAAGAAAAACTAGAAAACAGACGACCATAAACCAGACACTTGTCCAAGTGCAGAGTAGCATACTCCAACATTCTTAACAAATACAAACATAGGCGGAAAAAAAAAAAAAAAAAAAAGACATCCACAAAGGGAAAACAGTGGCAAATTACCTTTGTTTCCTGTTACAAAGAAGTAAAGGAAGAAACCATGTACAAAAGGATGCTGTCGATCTCCAGACGCATGACATATCAATTCTTTCTTGAGTATTTTCTGAAAGCAACACAAAACAGAATTCATTTCAAAATAGTGTTTAACAGTATATTATACAAAAGGGAGATAAAAGTAACAGTTACTTCATACAATGGTATCTGTGATAGATACATTTTCAGTGACAATCCAGCAAAATTGTTTGGATAGATGTCTCAAGAACCAATGAGATTAATTTCCTCTTATCTAGTTATTTGCATTCATTTGCATTACTAACCTGTAATAAGTCTACTGCCATGACTTCAGTGCTTGCTCCTTCTACATGCTCACATACCCATGTTGTGGCATCAGCTGCTATAAAGGTCAGAGTTGGTAAGCCTGCCTGTTTATTTAGTAGTCCTACACCCTTCACAGGATCTCTCATCATTTCAACAATTTCCGTTAAGGGTGAGCTCAGGTTTACCTTCTTGTTTTCTCTGGGAAGGAAATATGACATGGGACATTTTTTTTTTTTTTTTTGGCACATTTATCAGATTTATCAGATTCCATCATCCTTTGTTCTAGGACACTTTAGCAACCACCTGAGAGACATCAGACCTTAACAAAAAAAAAAATGCTAGTTGTGAGAAGTTAAACCCTTAAACACAAGTTCCCCTAAAACAGCAACTGTCAAGATTCCAGAGTATCCCTGGCTTAGTATCACTAAACAAGATAAAATTGAGATTCCAATAATCCAGCTTCAATTAACCATTTGGCTCTGGATGGCATGTATGCATGCCATGATGCGAATGGCAGTCTCACAGGGAAAATGCAAACCATGCCAGAATTAGCTCAGTTCAATCATGATCTATAGCCCTTCATGGAGATTTTGCACCATGCTGGCTGGATGCTTTAACCTATTCTGAAATAAGTGCAGATGTAACATGGTTGTTTTGGTATGAGATGGAATATAGCAATCCATCGAGTACTCAATACGAATCAACTATTTTAGTGAAATTCTCTACTTAACATATAAAAATACAATTTTACTTCATTCTCAAACTTCTGACCTAAAAGTAAGGAGCCTAAACATCAAAAAGGGAATAAAAAAGTCCTTTCTATTTACCCTTCCTCTTTATTTTCTTCTTCTGGCTCTAAGAGGGACTTCATCTCTGGTGCGTCAGAATGCATCTCACGACTTCCACTGTCCATGTGCAAGCGTTCTGACGTTTTCCCTCCTGAGCGTGGTCTGGGCCTCTCTAGCACTCTGTTACTCCCTAATCTCTCTCGAAAAGCAACAGCACACTGGAATAATACTTAACTATGTTAAACACCATGACACTGAAATGTAAAAGAGTAAAGAATATTCAGTTATTCTCATTATCTTCCTAAGTAACACAAGTCAATATATTTGCATTATATAATATATTAGACTTTGTTCTTAACATTTATATACACATAAAAAGCATTTACTTGTATTAGTTGAGGTTAAAGAATTCTTTTGCTGACTTCTAATTTTAAACAGAAAAATAACTCATGCATGATATTTGTTACGACCATGTAAAGTCACAAGACAGTATCTGGTGGTATGTACTGTACTACAGCAAATACTGCACAAGATTAGGAATCACAAAGGAAATGCTGCTTATACATGGTTGTAAAGATTTTCCCATAATAATTTGAAAGTCAACATGTAAAGCACCACTTCTAAACCACTTCTCCTTGTGCAGATTTTAGTGCACTATATGAATATAATCATATGTATGCAGTGCTCCTACAGACAGAGTGTTTAGCAGAAACCAGAGAAAATGGCTTTAGCATAATTCAAAGTTAACCGGTCGAGTGCAGCTATCATTTTTTTTTTCCCCGAAGTTTATTTTTGGTTATAAGTTTAAAGATAAACATTTAGGAAATTATTATGGGACTTATTTATA